CCCTCCTGTCCAGCACCTTCTCCACAACATATTCTTCCTCATCAGAGGATGAAGACTCCTCTTCGCGAGACTTTTTGCCCATAGCGAAGTTTGTTGCTGAACACTACGCTGTTGCAGGCCAATGGCACTTCCCTGTATAGGAAAACGATAGAGAGGCTAAAGTTAAAGAGAATATGGATGATTTTTTTTTTTTTTTGGTTGACAAAGCTCTAGCCGATACATTTCGGCGCAGGGATTTAATAATTACTGATCGGTATACTTAACGTAAGCCAACGCTAGCTAGACACCATCGTGTATCAACGAAAGGCATCATTTTATCGTCGTTAACGTTACTCCAATCTGCAACAGGCACGACATTTGAAAAAATAAAGAAAAAAAAGCTAAACTAACTGGCTGGCTAAAGACCTTTCAGTATCGTTAAGTGCCTAACTCACTAAACTACCTAAAAATGTCAACGTAGATGGTGTTACCAGTAAACGTAATGCGTGCACATAGCAATGAAGATATGATGTTGTGTTTGCTAAGCTAACTCTCTAGCTAACCAATGGGCATGAAAGGCAAATTCGCTAAAGCAAAGTAGCCCGCAAGCTAACGCTTCAACACGCTAACGTTGGCTATCTTTGACACCAAAAACCTACAACAGTACCCGCGGCAACACGGAGCACTTTCATGTGTTTAAATGTTCCTTACCCCTTTGGATGTGTGGACCGTCGGTTTCGATCACTTAACCGCAGCGATAATGCGTGTCTTTTGTGGACCTGCCGTCTTTGAGGCCAACGCTGGGGCTACTTTAGCATCTAGCCTGGATCACATAAAGGTGCTGGTGCTGTGCGTAAAAAGCGCGCGTTAAAGGCGCACAATGAATGTACCCGCCCCGTCGGTCAGCTGATGACCTACATAGTCCTCCAGCGTATGTGCTCCCATTGATTTTACTTAATTATTTAAGAGGTCGGGACATGTTTATTGTAAATGCATTTTTTTTTAGTGTTTCTCTTTTTAAAAAAAACAAAAACATGTTTTATATATATATTATGTTACTATATATAAATACATGTTTGTATGTCAGTGAAAGGTATAAGATGCTTAGAGAAAGGCACAGCTCCACCATCAGGTCAAAAATCAGAACCATTCAGGATTAATGATCTATTTAAATGTTTAATTTATCTTTAATTTCTTCCGTCAGTGCAACCGTGATATTAACCCCTGTTGTGTGCATTATATGTTTACTGACCTGCAAGCACTACCAATAAAACACAGTATTCTTAGAAATATCCCTTCACATATTCACATCCATAGTCTATTTTTTCCTCTATCGTCGGGATCGTGAAATACACGCCTACCGTCGTGTTATTGGCTGTTTGTGGTGATTGATTGAATTTGGCCCAATCGAGATTCCGTGGATCCTGACGACGGGTTGCAGCGGGAACTATTGGCCAATTGCTGTGTGAAAGAGGTGTATCCTTTCCTATTTATTCTACACTTGGTACCGGGGCTAGGCTCGTCTGACGCAGATCACCTCTCTCTCCGGTCCATTTTCAAGGAGTCTTCAAGGATTTAGCAAACAAAGATGGCGAAAGATGTGAGTATTGCAATCGCGACGCCCTTTTGCGTAATTATTTCCGTGCACACTGCGATCTGTTATTTAAAACCACTGCGGATGCTCAGCGCGGACGCGTTTTCATCACAAATGCCGCAGCTACCAGGCGTTGTAAAGCCGCCATTTTGTAGCAGCTGGGCCTCGTGGCCTTTTGTCCATGCCGTCAGTTATGTGTATATAAGTCAGCTGTTTCACTAGGATAGTTTCACTGCAGAGAATAAACGCAAACTCCCCCCCACCACATTAACGCACGCCTGCGTTTGCGTACAATTGCTGCTAGAAGCCGTGAAGCATCCTACGAGCGCTGTGCTCACTTTAATGGCGGCCACATCGCCCTCCTCCACCCTGTCCCGATTTCTGATGTGTGACGCAGGGTTTGGTAAATATACCATTAGCGCGTTCTTTACGCTTGGCGGTGGTTTCGTTGTGGACATGGTTACTGCCGACATTATACCCGGTGTTTTCCTTTTGAATGCTAGCTATCATGTACCCTGATGCTAGTGTGTTGCTTTGTCCATTGTGCAGGTCCCACGCGAGCCGGAGCAGCTTCGCAAGCTGTTCATTGGAGGTTTGAGCTTCGAGACGACAGATGAAAGCCTGCGGGCTCACTTTGAACAATGGGGGAGCCTTACAGATTGTGTGGTAAGTTTACATTTTACAAACGTTATCGCCTTTTGGCGCAGCTTTTAGCTTTAGCATTCAGACTTTTTATTTATTAAATATAGACTGTATCTTTGACTTGTGGGAGTAACTGTTGCCTCTTCCTTTTTAGGTGATGAGGGATCCCAACAGCAAGAGATCCAGGGGCTTCGGTTTTGTTACATACTCATCAGTACAGGAGGTTGATGCTGCAATGTCTGCACGCCCCCACAAGGTTGATGGAAGAGTTGTTGAACCTAAACGAGCCGTTTCCAGGGAGGTATGTTGAATTTCACTGTATTTGACTCAATCTCCCTTGAGTAACTCGCATGCATATATAAAAAGAAGGGTTGGGTGTAGTCACTACAGCAGATGTCTTTGATCACAGGACTCAAACCGACCAGGTGCCCACGTAACGGTGAAAAAGATCTTTGTTGGAGGAATTAAGGAAGATACAGAGGAGTCACACCTGCGAGATTACTTCCAGCAGTTTGGCAAAATTGAGGTCATTGACATCATGACAGATCGCAATACTGGAAAGAAAAGGGGCTTTGCCTTCGTGACCTTTGATGACCACGATGCAGTCGACAGGATCGTCAGTGAGTGCAAGTGATTTCTGTTGCCGCTTGTCAGATTTATTGATTTGTCTTGAACGGCTACTCAGTACCCTTTTTTTCTTTTCTTTTTTTCTTTTTCCTTCCTCCACCCCACAGTCCAGAAATACCACACAATCAACTCCCACAACTGTGAAGTAAGGAAGGCCCTCACGAGACAGGAAATGCAGACTGCAGGAATGGGTATGAGAGGAGGTAGGCTCCTTATTAAATAAACCTATTTTATTTATTAAGGAACAAGCCACCTGCCACATGCACATTGGCCCAATCAACACTATTCCAGCGCTAAGGGTTGTGTTTTTGTTTAGGTCGCAGCAGCGGTGGTGGAAGGCCCTACGAGTACGACAGGGGCTTCAATCAGGGTACGACTTCAGTGATAATAGGATTTATATAATAACTTGTACTATATTATAATGCCTGAAACCTGACTGCATGTTTGTCTCTCTCAGGTGGCAGGGGTAGATATGGAGATGGTCCTTACAATTGCAATGGAGGTGGAGGTGATGGTGGTAAGTAGGAATTTCAGCAGGTTTAAATGTTTTCACTTTTGAAATCAGAATGGAATTTGGCCTCGTACTCAAACGATATGTTTTGTAGGCTATGGAGGTGGTCCTGGAGGTCCTGGAGGATATAATAATGGTGGCAACCGGGGATATAACCAAGGTTACAACCAGGGTGGTGGCGGTGGCGGCGGAGGAGGCGGTGGCTATGGAGGAAACGGTTATGACAGCAACGGTTATGGTAAGTGTTTCTGCTCCCCTTGCCTAAAACGGTTTGTGCTGAAGGCATTATTTTTTACTTTTTTATTTAATAATTTTTTTTAAATTATGCAATCACAGGTAACTGTGGCGGCGGAGGGGGCGGTGGCGGAAATAACTACAACAACATGGGCCACTACGACCCCCAGGCCTCCAACTTTGGCCCCATGAAGAACAACTTTGGCGGCGGCGGTGGCGGTGGTGGCGGCAGGAACTTCGGTAAGTTGGATGCAAGGATGTGTACTGTCCTGTCTGCATGGTTTCTGTAAACTGAGGTTTTCTCTAAATATTATATTTTTGCTCCTAGGTGGCTACGGAAGTGGCTCAAACAACGGTGGCGGATATGGCCGAGCAGGACGATTTTGAAGTGGTAAGTTTGTGAAGGCCATGCCTGGACGACCTGTTTTTGTATCTTAAAACCAGAGTTTGTCGTTGCAGGGACTCGTTAAGTGTAGATAACGATTTATAAAAAAAAAAATTCACTCTGGATCTCAGGCCATACAAAGTCAGTGCACAGTTAACAATGTTGTTCCATATTGTTCAACAGGACTGAGTACTTAGGAGAGGAGAGCAAGGAGAGGAGAGCAAGCGAAGTGACAGGGCAGCTGTGACAGGGCAGCTCCTAAATCTGCTCAGCCAAACAGTTGTGGCAGGTTACAGCTGCTGGAAGAAGAGATGTACAGTAGATAAATCATGGAGGGTCTTCATTTAAACGTTTTGTGTTTTTTCATCGCAATGTGTTTCTGGAAACTAAGCATTCCAATGAGGTTTTATGTAGATTTTTCTTTAAGTCTGGTTTTATTTGTAACTGCATCAAATCAAGCTGAAATAAACCATCTTTCAGTTTTTTTTAAAAAGTCTCGTTAGCGTCTTTAGTGGTTTGGGAAAGGGAGGGTTCACTATTAGATGGTGCACAAAGTGGGGGTGATGGCCACATTGTACATAACATGTGAGGAGTCTGGAAAAACCCATACCCCTGAGATGTATGAGAAGCACTGCACTAGTCACCACATACACCATAAGTCAATGCACTTACAATACTGATTCAGGAATGAGAAGTCGCGTACAAATATACGTTCATCGTAAAGAGTCTATCACTTGGTACAGACTCTACCCTGAGTTCTGCAAAGATCATCTGGAAGATGCTAGCTTACATGCAAAGTCTTTGAGGCTAGCCATGGAAGCCAGCTGAGGGAGAGAAGTAGAAAAACCATCGCCAGGATCATTGAAGCAGGGGAGAGTGAGAACAGAAGCCTGAAAGTAGCAGGCAGCAGCTACCAAAAGGCTTAAAAGCTGTCTGTAGGTAAGACCAGACTTCTCAACTACTGATAGTATGTCTTGCTTTTGTCATGTAGCTGGTAGTGAGTTATGTAGCCCAGTAATGATGTAACATTTTTCAACAAGTATCAAGTTTTTATTATGACTTACACCAATGTTGACTGGTAATATTGGCCTCCTAAATGTGCATTGAGGCCCTACAACATATTGCATGCTGTGAACAGAAATTACATTTCTTTTGAAAGATTACATTTTACTTATTTGGATTTTCTGCTTTCTAGGATACTCCACACATGGTCTCGAAAACCTGACTTCATTTCAGTGACAATGGCTCAATCAGGTACAACATGAGAGAAAAAAAATTACAATTTCCAAAGTTTTTGTTCTTTTATTTAACTTGATTCTCTTTTCACAGGTTTGCTGAACAATCATGCTGGTGCTGAAGACTTAACTTTTTTTAAACTGAAGACTGCTGTGCAGTGTCTTACTTTTTTTAATAAAGTATTTTTTTATAAAGTACTCTGGTGTGGTTTCAGTCAATTGTAAGAGCACAAAGTGTCCATTGATACACGTATGGCTAGTTTTACATGAGGGTTAAGTCATAACCACATTAAATATGGAACTGCCAGCATGTTGATATACTTTCAGTTGGCAGTATACCTTCTGTAAGAGTATTAAATAATAGACTATCCCCCAAGTCTTCAGCATTGCTCTCTTTTCTGCATATTTGTGTGAGGTACCAAATAAACTTTACCATCTGGTGTCTGCTGTAGAGAGTATTCATCTATTGAGTATGGTTGTCCATCTTCGTCTCTTAAGTGAGAAAATACTTCTGAATAGAGGTCTGTAAGGCGACATTTAATAAAAGTCAAGCTGCGCTTGAACTCGCTCCTTTCCTTTGCCAGGTGCTCTCTTTGGGCCTGCAGCTGGTTCAGTTCTCTTTCAAGGTGAATTATGCTCTCAAGCTTCCTTTTCCTGCAGTTCTGAGCTGCCACCTTGTTCTTCCCTCTCCGCCTTATGTCCCTGACCAGTGCTAGTTGAGCATCCGTCAGAGTATACTGTGTCAGAAGCTCATTGAAGTCATCCACAGGTAGATTGATCATCTTATCCATGGGGAAGGGGATCTTCAAAGCCATGGCCCGCCGCTCATCTCTGCTCCGTGGAACAGGAGTGGACATGCTTCCTTCTGGTTTTGTGTACATGTTATGCTGTGAGCTCCCTCTGGTGGACAGTCCAGAATCACTGTACAGGTTGCTCTGACCTTGCTGCTTCACTGACCAAGGAGTCGGTGCATTGGGTTGTGTATGAGATAAAGTGGGTTGGGGTGAAAAATAAGATGGATGTGCACCTGAGTGTAAATATGAGTGAGATTGATTCTGGTAGTCCATTGAGTAAGGGATGTGTGCTCCTCGCGCATGGTCAGTCATGCTGTCTGGTTCACCATCACTATATGTCATACCTATGTCTACACTCTGGTAACCTGGTGCACCACCAACAGGATTATCTGGGGAGGCCAGAGGTGGACTAGAACCCAGAGACAGACCGGAGTCAGACTCCAGATCATCAGCTGAGCGAACGTGCAAATTTTGTCCATGTGTAGTCCACAGCATGTGCCGATTTAGACCCTGAGAAAGACAAGCGTTGGCCCTCCTGTGCCCTTGACTGGTGCCTGACACGTTCATCTGTTCCCTTGGAGCCATGAGTGAGGGCTGTGTGTGAGAGGAGACGGGGAGCATTCTTTGATTGAGCTGAGATTCAGAGTGTCTGTACATTGCCTCTGCATTGCTGCCTAGACGATGACAGACTGGCACCTCTTCAGAGTAACATCCATCATAGGTCTCAGCAGTGTTTAGCTCACAGGCAGCAGCAGGAAGAGGTTCAGAATGGGACTGAGTTATCCCATATCCTCCCATAGGGACCATAGGTTCCATGCTTTGGTACTGTGGTGTTTCATAGGAGCCTTCACCGGGGACCTCAAACTACAGTAACAAAAGGGGCATACCCAGTTATGATTGACAGGCACTTTGATACACGTCAACAGCAATAAAATGATTGAAAACAATTACTAACTTTCCAAGACCTCTGTGTTAATTAGTGGAACAGTGTCTTTTTCGCAAATTAGCTGGTTCACCATAGAGCACAGTTTGCCCCCACTTCAGCATGCCACCCATAGCCTATGAAGGGCTCTCATAGATGTGATCGAGTTTCACCTGGAAACAGATGGCTATTGTGCAGTGCAGGGGGCCGCTAGCAACATACAGCACTTGCCCCCTCTCACAATCTCTTCATCCTGCTATCACTCAAACAGGCCATTGTTGCCTTCTTCAGCTGAGTGTGTATTAGCTTCTCAACAGTTAGCATCAGATGAAAATTTATAAAAATATGTATCTATTCTTCTGGAATGAAACAAACCTATTCTGTTCAGTAATTACAAATTCCTTTTTCTTTTTGAACCGCATTTTAAGTGTTTAATTTCATACTTTCAACATGAAACTGAGAATAACAAATTCAAATTAATTGACAAGATATATTCACGTTTGCTGATAAAAAATACTATTATATTATTATCTTTATAAAGTGCCCTCATATGCAAGTTAAGCATTGTTGAAATAAATAAATAAATAAATACAACCTGCACCTCAATGATGATGCAGCATGGGGTATTAGGATAACATACAGTAATTGTCATATCTGGGATAAGACTTATGACATATAGTAAAATATTGCAATAAAAAAACTTATAGAGTTACCTGCAGCTCTGTGATGGCCATCAGCTCCTGCCAAGCCACATCCATCTCTGTGTCCTGAGGGGCTCCATGAGATCTGGCTCCAGGGAAATTAGTGGACATGGACACTCCCCCACACAACTTGCCTGGAGTGGCTAATACCTTGTAACACAAAAGAAAAAAGACTGCTAATAAAAACATAATTCACAAGTGTATTTTAGGCTTGATTATGTGTCTGTGACAGACCTACGTACCTCACAGGTTCTCCTCAGTGGGAGAACATAGTTGGCCGTTGAACACATTCAGGACAGGCTGTTGCTGCAAAAGGTCAACCTGGTGGTGACACAGAGCAGCGAGTTATCACCTACCTTGCTCTGACACAGCAGAAAGAAGAAGGAAAAAAAGCACATTCACTCGGGCTAAACATCTGCAAACCGTTAAGTCACACCGTGCTTTCAAACACGTTTCTAATACATACAGTGCGTTACATATCTGCAGACCTGTCTGTGCTAAATGACTGTTTGGCTGTTCTGTGGGTTCTTTTGGAACATATGAAGGGTTCAGTTCAGTTGAGTAGACTCCTCCCATCAGCTGTCCCAGGGTGCAGCTATGCCAACCCCTGATAAGACAATCTGCGGGAAAACAGCGTGCTCTTCAAGACAGACTGAGGCCTGATGCTGCTTTGGAAAATTTGGTGTATGGCTAACATGTTCGTAGTAATCTTCAACCTTTTTTGGCTAAGCTCTGACAGAAGCCATTATAGTAACATTTTAGCATCTACAACTTGTATTTCAGAATTTTTCAGTAAAAGTCTTGCAACTATGGAACACCTTACCACCTGAATCAGAATTTAAAGTTTTCCAATACACAAATGAAATCACATGAAGATGTGAACACTGAATAACTTTACATCAACTTTTGCTTATACATCCTGTACATCTATACTTATGCTCACACTCGCACCCATATGTCAGTGCATACGTACAGTATATACATATATAGACATACACATACACACACATAAACACAACCTTTTTTTAATCTGTTTTTATACTCTGAATATGCTTCTTTAGATGCTTTAATTTAAAAAGCCTAACCAAGGATGGGGCTACAGATTAGCTTAGACGCCCTTTACCCAATACATCTGTTGCATTGCTGCCCTGTAACAATTTTTTTTATCAGTGTTGCCCCTGTTAAATAAACTTATAAATTAATAAATTAATTTAAGTAATAGTCTTTCTTGTACATCTTGCTGTGTGGGTCACTTAAAATTAATATTTTCTGTGGGGTAGAATTAAGATTTAATTCTATTAACCTTTACAGTGGAAAGGTCACTTTAATGTCCTTCCTAATACTTAATGTTGATTCAAAAAATATTTATGAAAGGCTTCCAATCAATACAGTAATGTGATGAATCGGCAACCTGAGGCTGCTCCACTGATAATAATAGAGAAACAACTTTGTGGTTATGACGATGATCTAAAGTCAGAAATTAAATTAAAAAGTTTAAAAAATGATCAAAGTAAGGCTAATTGGAGTGGAATATAAAGCAACAGACTGCCACACTCAGGTGTCACTGATTATAGTGTTGGTTCAAAGAGTTTAGCCTCTGAAGAGACTTTAATGGTCTGCAGCAATTAAACTGTCTTAGATCTTAAAAATATATATTATATGTATAATATGTTTGCAAAATGTGGTATATTTCAGCACAATACATGTATTTTCCAAGTCATTTTTTTCCACTTAGTAACAGTGTAATCAACGAACAGGATAATCTTTAACCAAATATGTTTTTTTATTTTAATATTTTAATATTTTAATTAGGCATATCATTTCCTCTTACGGACCTTCAGAACAAACTGTATGCATTAAATTATTGATTTTTATGTCAGTGGGACCGGTTTGTGTATGGTGATTTGCTATCATCTGCAATGTGTGAATTTAATGTAATATTTAACGATTACATCCTGCTATAACCGGTGTTGTGGTAAGTTTCTAAGGCTGTTTCCTTTACTGTAAGGAATCATAATTCACTGTCAACACTCAAAACTCTATTCACTGGTTCAGTCTGTAAAGTAGATTGTCAAATTAAGTCAGCAAGATAACATTTCTAATAAAATTTTAATTTCTGGAAATATATTTCTTAACATATAATGAAAATGTGTTATTACTTTAACTGTATTCTTTACAACTACATATGTGTATATATGTCTGTATATATATAACCTCTCAGCATACTTCTGCAATAGAAAAGGAAAGATCTGACAAATCATTTGAAGGAAGATATAAAGGAACATACCTGTGCAACATTCTCTGCTTCTTCAACAGGTGATGAGTGAAAAAAAAACCCTTCAGATGTTGTGCTCAACCCTGGTGGTAAGAAGAAGAAAAAAATGAGTAATAGGAGATTCTGTTCTTTTTCACATATGTTGAGCTGTCTGCTTACTTTTAACTGAACACAAGAAGTAAAACACATGAGGCCTCTTGCCCTATCTCTTATTCAACTGTCTGTCTCTCTCTGTTCAGCTACACATACAGCCATCGGCATAAATGGGATGGCTCTGTGAAGACAAACACAATCTTCCTGTAAAGCACCCACACCACATTTTTTTGCACTCTTGTATCCTTAATAGCACACTTGCACCCCAACCTCCAAATTTCCCTTTTGCCCACACGACAAACCACAAACCAACAGTTTGGCATGCACCACGACAGTCATTCTGTCAGTCCACATTGGAGTAGGTAGATGATTACAAATTAAACACAAACAAACAAAAGAATCCTGTAAGTAATTTTGATTCTAATCATATCATTTCAATAAACATAAAACAAGCAGATTAAACAACAAAAAGTGAATGAAAACTAGCCGGATGGTTGTCTCTGTCCTGGCCAAACCGTACAAGAACTGCGTCCTTTCCGAAAGGTATGAGGAGTGTGATGTGGAGCACCTGGAGTCTGAGCCGGCATTGCAGTGAGGGCCCTGTTTAAGCAGGGGTGGGTTGGAGGCAGGATTGAGACTTAGTTTAGTAGAGCTGGAATGTACACCCTCCGACAGGTAAGAAAGACCACATTGTTCCTCTATCTGGCAGAGCAACCGCCAAGGGAGAGAGAGGAGCAGGGGGAGAATGGAGGGGAGCGTGTCTTACATAGCAAGTGACCATTAAAATCCCTCACAAAAAAATCCCCTCATGATCTGAAGCACTGTGAGCAGTGAATTCACAAAGGCTATGTGTTATGTAGAACTGCCCCATTGTGTAACAGTGTTCACACAATTACTAATAGTAGAGCTGTTGCGTATTTATTGTTTCATGGAGCAATGCATGTTAAGCTTTATGCATAGTGATAGACAACAGGCTGTCACTGTGTCGGTGATGATTTTGGAAGTATTCTGCATCACATAAAATATTCAAGACCTTTTCAAAGATCCCCTACTGTGAACACTGTCTGCAACACAGTGGATAGATTTCATTTTTAAAAGCATTTGTTGATGATAACCGAAATCACTTGATGGACATATTGAAATACATGTGTGTTAACTCAGCTTTTGTGACTACATTATAATACAGTATACTTACATGCATTTAAAAGAATCCCTTGTAAGTTTTTGTAAAATAAGCAGATGTGAGTGCATTTTTTTAGAATTACCTTCATATAAGGAATAATAAAGCATAAAACAGCTGCATCGTGCAACAAATGCAAGAGTTACATTTAAAAAATTAACATGTAACTACACAGAACTTCTCTTTCTCAGAAGTGCAAAGCCGAAAACAGATGTCACAGTCATTCCTCCTTGAACTCCTTTTTTTGGAAACTTTTACAAATAATTAGAGTGCAAACAAATCTCCGATAGACTGCACACAAGTCTGCTCAAACTGCTACAAATATTTTAAATTTAGTACAAATATACACAAACTATATATACACGCTCCTTACTTATAACATGATGAGTTGAATAACCTAAAAGGTTTGTTCAAGTTATTCTGATTCTTGTGAGAGAAACGAGTGATGAAATGTATGAAAAGATAATAGAGAAACAAAATATAAAGGGCGACTGACTATTTTTATAAAACGCTCTTGATTTACAGCAACATTACACTTAACATTAAAAAGATAGGTGAATTTTTATGTCCTTTTTAGACCCTTAAAGTAGTTGTATTTTTAACTGTCCAAGAACACAGAGGGTGTAAGGAGAAATAAGTTTGGGGTAATTAATGTAAACTTTTGTTCTGAATACTGACCTGAAGCTTGACCTTTTTATTGTGAAATAAATATACATTTTAAGGCCAGTAATAAACCGAAATTGAGTTAAGCCTTTCAGTAACTGTAGATTCAAAAAGCATGAGAACATGGAAGGTTTTGTCTGGCCCATTATAATATCACATCCCACTGAGACATAAATCTCAATGTTTTCTCTGTCATTGTTCTAAGATGGAAAAAGTAGGTGGCTGACAGAGTCAAGAAAGGTGAATGTCTACCAGGAATCAAAGAAGGGACTTCCCAACCCAAGTTCCTAGCACCCAGCCCCTGACTCAACCACTGCCATAGCATGCCAAAGATCACCCTGTTATTACTGCGACCACAGTGGTTTTGAATCTGGACACAGTTCCCAGGTCAACGCCCACGTTCCCTGTTTGTGTTTGTTTGCTTCAATTAGTCTTTGACATCTCTGCTTTCCAGCTTGCCTGAACCTCTCAGAGGCTGTCAGCCTTTTCTTATTGTGCACCTCGGAGCTACGAAACATAGGCCGGACACGTTTGCTGGGAACTGCCCACAGTTGACTCATTTAGGCTTAAATTCTCTTAATGACCATTGGATGTTATACTAGGGTGGGTTAAATATAATGTGGGATTAATGGTTAACATGTTTGTCCTTTTGTTGTTTCCCACCTTCTCTATTTGTCCTGGCGTTTCCATGGCATTTCATACGTTCATTAAAGATGGAGGAATGTGGCATCTTGGGTTTTGTTTTAACATCCAGAAAGCTGTATCAGACATGAGTGGAAAAACCACCTAACTACTAAACAAAATGAATGTGTGTCTTGGGTTGTGGTATCAAAAAGGGGATATCTTTAGAGTCAGCTTCTGGGAAAGGAAACAAAATAGAGAGGGCAGATGGAGTATTACATTTATTCTTATATTGATTAAATAACTAGTTGTAATGTTGATCTGAAATGTTAAAAATTAGAAATGTTACTTGTTTTACCATTCTTAATATTTAACTTCAGTAAAAGTGACGCTGCAAATAAACATAACATGACATAAAATGATCATATGTACAACCGTTCAATGTGGTGATATGACATATTGGTACTCAACTGTAAAGGGTTTGTGAATTTGACCCCCTTATGTATGTGGTTTGGCTGATATCCAATTTGACATATTGGCCTTATCATATTGTGGACAATATTAACATCTTTTTTGAACAAGCAGGATGCAAAATTATTTTTATTGCACGCAGTCCTCCTCAGAACAACTGTAGATGTAGATATGGGATTCAGACATAACCTTTCCATTGTTGTTCCTTAAAACGTCTTTCATGATGGTCACACATTATCGCTACCTGAAACCGAGCAAATGAGGAACCTGAACATGCAGCATCATTCTTCTGAATGTCTCAATCAGGTCTGTGCTTATCTCAAGATGTTTAGATAAAGATAATGTTTTGTAACAGCCACACTGTATTTCCTAATTATTTTCTGATCTGTTTTTATTTGCCCATTCATTTTTGTTTTTATACATTCACATATTATATAACTGGCATTGGAATATAGAAATACAAATAAGAAAATTAAACAGAAATAAGCAACTTAAGGGGCTGCGTAAGTCTTTTGTGTGAGTGTATATACATAGGTGACTATACATGCAATTAAGCTCATGTGTTCATAACAGTGAATTTCAAGGCTGGTTGGTCATACAGACGCAGAGAGGGAAGGTAAGGAAAGGAGGATGTTGGTTGGCGGAAGCTCTGCTTAATGCTGATAAAACAAACACTTGGTTCTTAGGAAGGGAACTGCTAACTGCTGTGGTTGCTGGCATACGCTGAGGACAGGGGAGCAGCCTGTACGACAACATTACTTCACACACTCTGTTATTCATTTCTACTTTTTGACCTTTGTGAGCAATTGACAGAACTAATAATATATGGTAAATATTTTCTGAACTTGAACAGGAGATATATCAAACATCTTGAACAATTTCCTCACATCCTGCTTTGAAGATTTTCTGAAGAGGTCAATTTATGCTTCATTCATGGTTTATTCAACTATGAAGTGTAGGTGCATACATTTTTATACAAATTATTTAAAAGAAATCATTAGCGTGGTTTCATCTTTAAGCCAATAAAACCTACTTTTTCTATGTTCATTCTTCATACAGTATATGTTTATTCTCCATTCAAGTTTCATTCATCACCATCACTAACTGCCAGTCATCATCATCATCGCTGTGATGGTTTAAATATACATATAAGTATGAGTATATTTGACGTGTCACATGAGATGGCATAACAATGACATTTAAGCTTTAACTATGAGCTACTTCAAGGCAGCATACAGTTTCCTCTCCAGTCAGGCTCATTTTGAAATCTTAGTGGCTGAATTGTGTAAACATAGTGCAGTATTGCAACATTTCATGGTTGCCCACAATGCTGTTATGAATGCATGTCAAAAGACTTTATATCTTTTTACCATACACTTTGTGCAGTTAAATAATAGCCGTACGCCATTTGCTTTCACAACTGTACATATTCCAGTATTATTTGAAACTCAAGCCTAGAAATATCTTACTGTAAGGCCACACAGTGATGTCATGTATGGAGTAAGATAGAGGGAAATCCCCATCAGCCTGGTTTTCCAAATGCTTCCCAGAAGTGGGAACTAGGATAATTGGAGTTGGTTAAATGTAGGAGGATCCTGAAAAAAGATGTTGATGAGTACGAGCAAGCTATACTGGCTTGTAAATAAGAGACTTACCGTGCAGTCCTATAAAAAACAGCAACCGCCTTAAGTTATCAAATTTAGAATGATTCATTATAATAATCTGGTTTAACTCCAGTAGCCTACGCATGTTACAGATTTGAACTCTAAAATGAACTGAATGAATGATCAGTGGTAGGCCTACTGTAATTCAGAAGAAAATGGCGAATTACACCTGGAAATTACATAATATATGGACTTTATGTTGATCTTTTATAAGCAGCAGGGTTAGGACAGTTGTAATGTCAGGGGAGCGCCCTAGTAGCAGAAAATAGAATAAAATAAGGTGTGCGGAGAACATACAATGTTTGACTTCCTGAGAGACATTATCAAGTTGCAACTATCCCCAGTGAAGGGACAAATGTATTACAGATTCTGGCGAGGCTTCATAATTAGCCGTATCAGTTCACTTTCAGCATTAACGACATGTATTTCTGTCCAGACTCCGCGCCCTGCACTGAACTGCTCTTTGCCCTTTACGTACAACGCAGGAAACTGCGTCAGCCAATGGGAGAAGGCCTCATTTACTGTACGTATGACGTAGCCAGCTGCTACCCTGCTAGCTAGTTTGCTAACAAGAAAGAAGATGGATTCTCCCATACTGGTAATGTTACCCCGTGTATTTATTGAACGCAGTGTGTGTGTCATTTGAGCTTTAATGATCAGTATTCCACAGAATCATATGTTGAGATTTGTTTCTCGAGACTTACCGAAATATGTCAATTTAGCTGTGGAGTTAACTCGACGTGGGGCTAAC